CCCCCCCCCCCAGAACGCCGGAAAAGAAGCCGGAATAGGGAAAACATCGGGCGGTGGCCTTCCATTCTTTTGCACCGGGGTACCCAATAGGGGCCACACACGCCCCCACATGGAAATAAAAAGGATGCAAAGGGGGGGGGGGGGGGGGGCAGAGGCCACCAAGCGGGTGGTGGGGCCGGAAGAAGCACGTCGACAGAAAGGGATTGGCTACCTTTACCTCGGTCACTGCCACGCCGTAGTAACACAGGAACGGATACCACTCTAATTTTCTATGTGTCCATCCCAGTCCACCCGTCCACAGCGTCAAACGTTTCAACAGTCCGTCTATCCTTCCACAGGTAGCCGGACAAGCTTGAATTCCTCGTGGATGAACAAGGCTGACAGGAGGGACTTCGTGTAGAACATATCCGGTCCTGAAAATTGATCTGGAGATTCAGCAAACTACGAGCTGCGATCCGAAACAAAGAGCGCTGGTGCCACTCGGAGATCCAGGCCTTACTAAGCGTGGAATCGCAGAAATTTTACAGCTGTGGTCGAGTGTAGCCAGGCAGCAGACTTGTGACTGGTAAACAGTCAGGGCTGCCTCAGCCTGTCAGGCTACCAAACAATGGGAAGTTTCTTTCACACATCATCGCACATCCTGAGAGAGTCAGGCGACAGATGCAACAAAGGGCGCTTCCAGCCCTTTCAAAGTGGGCTGCCGAAAAAAAATCAACAAAGAAAGAAACATTTGTCACATGAGACCACACATTTGCTATCCAGGGGCACATGATGCGGGTTACCGTCCAGGCTGGCTGGCGGCCGGATACGTCGAACTGTTCCTACTGTCGGAGCAGTCCTCGATCTGTCGCGTACACCGTAGGTAAGAAATCGAATGATGACGGGGCATCATGTTGCGGTGTAAGAAATGCCCAGCCCCCCTTCCTCTGGTTTCCAAAGAGCGAGGGTATTCGTGCACTGGAAGTGTATACCTAGGGCATGTCTACCAGCAGGTTTTGCCATTGTGGTCAGTGATACCTAGGAAATCCCAGCGCCACAAAGGGCAGCATGATAGAACAGAGAATTTCCATACCTCTATCCACCAAGCAATTCCGGATAAAAAGGGCTTTTTCCAGAAGGGCTCGGCGAGCTAGGTAGCGAACTCTGAGCCAAGGGGGCAACAGAATGGTACACTACCTCTACTGAATGGTAGCCGGGAACTGACGGTGGTGGCTCAATGGCTTTACTAGGGAGTATGCCCGTAGAGGTAATCTCCTAGAGTACTGGACTGTGGTAACGGCGGACAGCCACTCATGTCATGAACACAACTTTTTAGCTCCTTGGCCTGGCAGGCAAAGCCCGATGCCAAGCGCTGGCGAAGTTGTGTTGTTGTGCTGAAGGAAGGAACAAGGGTGAATGGGATACCCCACTGTCGCCGCTTCGGTCCCCTTCCCGCCGGTCTTGCAACTTTTGTCGAGACTTTCAAACTTGCAGTGTACGCTAGAGTCAAAGTCACATGCCATTCCAAAAAAAAAAAAAAAAAAAAAAAAAATGGTATCAAGACGACGACCCAAACCCAGACGATATCATATGGTGGTATTGGGCGGAGATTTCCCCAGATTTGTTGCTCGTTCGTTTTTCTCCTCAATCGCACGCGTCAATCCACCCGTCCCATGGGGAAGAAAAAAAAAAACCACACAATCATGGGGTTAATCTGGGGAAAACAAGATCGCAAGGTCGGGGCAAAGTGAGGGGATTGGGGGGAATGGACTGGAGAGACTGGAGAACAATGGAGAATATTGGAACTTTGGAGTCAATCTAGATGCGAAAGACTCCACAAAAGGACCGTTTACAAGCGGCCCTGCCCTGCACTTGGGGTGGTTTGGGCCCCTGTCGCCCCGGACCACGTTGCCATGCTTGTCCTAGTGGAGGTTGCGCGCGCCGCCCGGTGCCTGACTCCACAGCAATGTTGGGGTCAGCAAGCGTTCTGGATTTCTTTGGGACGAACAGATGGAGGGAGGGTGTCTGGCTAAGTAAGTGGTGTTGTGACATGGGACGTCGTGTAAGGGACAGAATGTTACGACGATTGTTACCATTGCTGAGTGACGTTGCTCATATAACACGGTCATATAGAGCAGCGGCTCGGCGCGACTCGGTCGTGATGCACTGTGATCTGTGTGGTTCAAGGGAAGGCTTGTTGGGAGCGAATGGCGACAACTGATAAGTGATAATAGCGTCGCCGTCGTGTCGCTGTCGCCAAAGCGTCGGGACAGATGGAGAGCGGAGACCCGGCCCTACGCACCAAGCGACGGCAAGTAACGGTGCCGATGATGCCCAAAACAAACCTGAAGCTCCCATCCAGAAAGGCACCGGGTCAAGTAACCCCGAGTACCGTATGCGTACGCGACATGGCGTATGTATGGTATGCGGTATGCGAGTCAGTGTTGGTGATACCCCGAACCCAAGCATTCAATAACGCTTTACCCGGATTAGTCCGAGTACAGTAGCTTCTGGATGATGTATGTAGTGCGCCCACAAAAGCGCCGGTACTAATGTGCAAATACTGCCGAAGGGTGGTCATTCGTATATTCTTACCAAGCAGGCGGGACGTTGACAACTTGAACCTTTGGGATATGTCCTTGTCTGGATTCTTGGGGGGCTCCTTGTGGGAGGACGACATTGAGCTTGGCTTCACTTGTAACTGGTAAGCAGTGAGAGATGGCTGACTCGTTTGGGCTCCTTGGCGACCACGATGTCAGTTCTGGGCATCATTCGATACCTCTACGTACTCTGGTACTAGGAAGAAGCCGTGGGAGCATGGTAGGCAGGGCTAGAAATGAAAAGGGTATCGTGCTGCGTGCCACCATGATCACATACATAACTTCAGCCTCAAACTGATCCATGTTGTGGTTGTGGTTGTGTCGAGGAAACCCAGGACCCTAATTCTGAAATCTGGTGGTACGACAAGGCTGGACGGGGTCACTCTGGGTTATACTCGGTCCTTGTGTTCAACCCATTGCAGATTTCATCACTGCTGAAGATTCGATACTGATACTAACTGGGTATTGGACAACGGTGCATCGTTATCATCGTCAGGATTGTCTCCAGTTTCTCTGATCCTCATCAAGGGTTTGACAGCAAAGGGGCAAGAACACGTCCGTGCGACTATTCAACCCACAACACTACGAACCCAAACCTAAAAACCTTTCGGCTACTGCAACGAAGATCGTTGAATGATGTGATTGCGATTATGGGTGGCAGAAAAGTCTGGTACAAGGAACAAGGTTGTGGACAACGAGTTTACCTAGCTTTGTTACGATTGTTACACAGCTCGTTGAAGTAGGCGAAATTTTGTACCCCCCATCCCGGCTGGCCCATGCTTCTAGGCGGATTGGTTCAGGCAGCCGTCAAGGCCGGCCAACAAGTCGTCTTAAAATTACACGCAGGAATTGTTCCATTCCTTTCGATCCTTGAAAGAAGCCACAGACAATTACATACAACTATACGCACAGGAAGAACAGAGATTTATGTCACCTCGTATCTGAGATCTTGGAATTGAGAATTTAAAGCCAAAGTTGAATGCTCCTCGTCCATTGTGTGTGACGGCCAAGTATAGTGAAATGCATCACTCATGCAAGAGAGCAGAACGGAAGAAAGGGAACTTGAAGGGTTGAGCCCCGGTCTCGCTTCCTTCTAGAAGCACATCCTTCATCTACACTTTCATCAACGGATGCAAATCATCACCGTCACCATCACCATGGTTTGCCAAGTAATGGGTGTCGCCAACGTCCCGGAAATAATCTTTAGCGTGTGTCATGGCCCAGAAAAGGGGCTTCGTAGATACGTACCGTACCGTAGAAATCATTCCCATTTGCATAGGGGAATTGTAATCACACCCACGCGCGAGCTGGATGGGCGTCCACTCGGTCAATCGCCAAGTTGGGAATATGTAGAGAAGTCGCTGTGATAACATCAATCACGCGGGAGCTACGGAACGAGAGTGCCAAGCGAACGTTTCTCCCAGGGAAATGCAGCTTTGACGTCTTGGTGGTGATGTCGGGCTGGTAGTGGTTGGGACTCTGGTTGCATGGCGGTGGGACTGGACCTCGGCTTAGTTTTGAGCGCGAACAGTTGACCGAGGCGGAAACGCAAACGGTGTGGAATGCGGGTGATCTGGAGGAGGTCTCTTCCATTCCCGGCGGGCGGTCCGGCTTGTATCCATACCTCTATGATTGATGATGATGATGATGCCGTCAAGAAGTTGCCCCATGCATCCCGTTGAAGAAGAGCGAAAGAGCAAGACACGCATCGAAAAGAATGAAACAATGAAAGATTGACGACCGGGAGCAAACAATGCTTGTAATTCGGGACTGGACCGAGACCCAAGACATTCCATACCGGGAGGAAGAAGAGTTGAGCATTGATGCGATTCAAGACGCTCGCTGTTACCGTAACAAAAGTTTGGGGGGGGGGGGGGGGTTTCAGTGGTTGTGTCTCAGGTAATTTTGCGTCAGGAATGTAACGCACCGAAACGGGGTTCAGAAGCGCTGTACGGATGCGTTCCTTCACATGACTTTACAATACGGATACGGCTGACAAGGGGGGTAATGATTCAAAATTTCAGCGACATCTCGAGAGGGAGCAGACCAGACTGTTCGAGGCCAAGATCTAGTGCAGGCCAAGCTCTCTCGCTCGGCGTTATTCTGCATCTCTCGTGCATGGCGCTGCATGGATGGGACCCAAGGCCCCAAGGAGGATGGCCACAATCTGGGGACCCCATGGAGAAGGAAGGCCACCCCTGAACAGAAAGATATGGGATGGGATGGGATGGGATGGGCCACTCCTCCACCATCCTCCGCCTCCGCCTTTGCAACCAACCCCAGACCCAGCGCTCCAGACCCCCTGGATTTGGGGTAGAATCTTCCTTCTCCGCAACAAATGGGAGTGGTCTTGCACGCGACCCCCCGGGCGGGACAATGGCGAAATCCCCAAGGAGCATGTTGCCAAGTTGGGGAAATCGCCCTCGTCTGGCTGGTCTAGGTGCGAATCTCCGTTTTCTGACTGGCCGGATCCGACCAAGCCCTCCGCAGCCACCAGAGTCCCACCCTCCCCCGTCTTCTCCAACTTGGGAATCTGTGGGCATGCGTGGTATGGGCATGGGGAAGCCGGCAAGGTTCCAGAGTGTAACCACGGGCATGGGCTGTACTAAGATACAAGACCTTGAACATGCAAACTCAGTTTACATAAAGAGCTTCGCATCCCGTTCCTCACCCCCTTTTCATCAGCCGCTTTCTCGACTTCCTTTCTGTGTCATCAACAAGTAATCTACCTCCCTTCATCCCCTCTTTCCTCCTCTCGTCCCTTTTTCGCTTCTTCCCTTGACGACAACCAGACGACAAAAAGGGAAATCAACAAATACAAGAGTCACAACAAACACCATGTCGTCCGCCCACGAGAAGGAGACGGCTCCTACAGCGGCCCACATCGGGCTCGCTCACACCCAAGATGTCGAACGCATCGAAGCCCCCGTCACATGGAAGGCCTACCTCATCTGCGCCTTCGCTTCGTTCGGTGGTATCTTCTTCGGTTATGACTCCGGTTATATCAACGGCGTTCTTGGCTCGCAGATCTTCATCAATGCCGTCGAAGGCACCAATCCCATCGTCAAGCAGCTTTCCGAATCCCACCAGTCCCTCGTCGTCTCTATCCTGTCCTGCGGTACCTTTTTCGGCGCCCTGATTGCCGGTGACCTCGCCGACATGATGGGCCGCAAGTGGACCGTCATTCTCGGCTGTCTCATCTACTTGATCGGTTGCGTGATTCAGATGATCACTGGTCTTGGTGATGCTCTCGGTGCTATCGTTGCTGGCCGTCTTATTGCTGGTATCGGTGTGGGTTTCGAGTCCGCCGTCGTCATTCTGTACATGTCCGAGATTGTGAGTTTTCTCTTACCCGTGACCGACTTCCTTCCAAGGTGACTAGGTAACTAACCATTCAATGTCTGCAGTGCCCTCGCAAGGTCCGTGGTGCCTTGGTCGCCGGTTACCAATTCTGCATCACCATCGGTCTCATGCTTGCTTCTTGCGTCGTCTACGCAACTCAGGACAGGAAGGATACCGGTGCTTACCGTATTCCTATCGCCATCCAGTTCATTTGGGCTCTCATCCTTGCCGGTGGTCTTATGTGCCTCCCCGACTCTCCTCGCTACTTCGTCAAGAAGGGTAACCTCGCCGCTGCTACCAACTCTCTGTCCCGTCTTCGTGGCCAGGACCCCAACTCCGAGTACATCCAGGTCGAGCTTGCTGAGATCGTCGCCAACGAGGAGTACGAGCGTCAGCTCATTCCCTCCACCACCTGGTTCGGCTCCTGGGCCAACTGCTTCAAGGGTTCTCTCTGGAAGGCCAACTCCAACCTCCGCAAGACTATTCTTGGAACCTCTCTTCAGATGATGCAGCAATGGTGAGCTCCTCTTTACTCCTTGACAAAGGCGGATGGACATGCTAACAAGAAACCAGGACCGGTGTCAACTTCATCTTCTACTACTCCACCCCTTTCCTTAAGTCTACCGGCGCCATCTCCAACACCTTCTTGATCTCCATGGTCTTCACCATCATCAACGTCTTCTCCACTCCCATCTCCTTCTGGACCGTCGAGCGCTTCGGCCGCCGCACCATCCTCTTCTGGGGTGCCCTCGGCATGCTCATCTGCCAGTTCCTCGTCGCCATTATCGGTGTCACCGTCGGCTTCAACAAGACCCACATGGGCGCCAACGGCGAGTCCATGGCCAACAATGTCAGCGCCGTCAACGCCCAGATCGCCTTCATCGCCATCTTCATCTTCTTCTTCGCCTCCACCTGGGGTCCTGGTGCTTGGATCTTGATCGGCGAGATCTTCCCTCTCCCCATCCGCTCGCGCGGTGTTGGTCTGTCCACCGCCTCCAACTGGCTCTGGAACACCATCATCGCCGTCATCACCCCTTACATGGTCGGCGAGAAGCGCGGAGACCTCAAGTCGTCCGTCTTCTTCGTCTGGGGCGGTCTTTGCACCTGCGCCTTCGTCTACACTTACTTCCTCGTGCCTGAGACCAAGGGACTCTCGCTCGAGCAGGTCGACAAGATGATGGAGGAGACGACCCCCAGGACTTCGGCCAAGTGGAAGCCTAGCACCACCTTTGCCCACGCGGCTGAGGATGGTATGCTCAACGTACCTGCTGAGAAGCAGGTTTAAGCTATGAGCTGAGCGTTGACACTACCGAAAGAAAAAAGAGAAATAGAAAACAAAAGAAAAAGAGAGGGAATGGACAGACACCCACGCTTTCGACCAACAGGCCAGCGTTCAACAGAGAAAGATGATGGATACCCCGCGGTTGTATTTTGAGCGAATGATTTTGATGAACAAGCACGAGTACGAAAGCAATGAAATGCGTGATGGGAATATTTTTTCTGTACATGCGGTTGGGATAGGCTAAGAGTTGTTTATGATATCTCTGTGCGGGGTGTGTACGATGGCGCTGGTGTGTGGTGGCTGTCCTGGTGTCGTTGTTGTGGTCTTTTCTTTGTCAATTCTCGATACCTTGGTATACCCTCATCGGATACCGTAACTATACCACCAGCCTTACTTAATTGATGATATCAACCGCATATTTTGAGCTCCTCGTGGTGAAGTGCACACTTGTGTCTACGGTTTTGTAAAACGTTCACGACACCTTGGCAAAGACGCATTGACGGCACTTGCTCCTCCATTGAAACGTGACAACGAAGACTCGTCAACCCCAAGCTCGTAAGTGATGATCGCTTCATGTGCAACACCGACGATTCCACGCCTTCGGTTCACTACCGCGATCTGCGACTTGTTTGTCTCAGCGATTTCTTCCCCATGATCGCCCGGTACCTTAGTCGGTTCGGGCGAGCGGTGTTCAAGCAGCTGAGCAGGCATCTTTGATCTGGGCATCTACCGAGACGATGGCGTTTTCCGCACTACGCTAGCGCCGTCCAACTCCCCAAGACCCGTCGCTAGCAAGCGTCTAGGCCGATCTCTAGCGCACTCGCAACGCAAAATCTTGATAAGAAATCCACATGCGTCAATTGAAGGTTCGGCAACCGCTTGGAACCGCCAGAGGCAAGTTGACCACTGCATTGCTTTTCTCGCTTTCACTTTTCGGCTCTCGCCCGTCCGACATGTACGCGCTGCCCTTGTGCTCCGAAAGATTCAAGAAATGAAACAACATAAAAATCTGCCAGGTCGTACTTGGGCGGTCGAATAAGACACCGAACATGCATGCCTGCGCTCTGATCGGAGGATTTTGATAGAAGAACCCCAAACACACCGCTTCTTAAGCTAATTTGGTTCAGATTGTTCCAGGAGTACCGAGACCAGATTTTGAGTAACCCAGACCCCAAACATGTGAAGCCAGACTCTGCGCGTGCTCTGAGACCAGCGTCGTGGCATTTTGCCAGTTGCCTGAAAAGGAAGTGCGGACGTGTGCGCGCTTAACAAAAAAGGGGGCGGGAATCACCAATTGGCGGGGGTGCAACTGAACATTGAAACACAGGATAGGGCAAATGTAGTTCAATTACGTGAGACGTCGTGTTAGGGGGGAGAATCCTAGAGGGCTGGCTTGGAGTGTAACCGTAAGACAAAAAAGTGAAGGCGAAGGATGACGGGAACGCGAATTGAAAGCGGTAACAAAAAGAAAGAAAGAGAAAATAATAGAGTGGAAGAAAACCGAGGAAGACGCCCAGCGGAATGTTGATTCCTCAAAGAGTATCATACTTGAAGGTGAGACCTGTGATACCCATTTCTTGTTGTTTTCAAGGGAAGTCTATCGGAACTTTCAGTAATCGTCAGGTCTTCGAAACCGACGGTCTGACTGGCGGGCGAGCCACTTTGATGTCCCTGACTTGACTTTGGCGAGAAAAGGTGACACACAATGCGGAAAACGGGCTCAGTTCCGATCCGCGGGTAAGATTGGCGTGATGAAAGCGGTTGGCAGCGTCTAAAAGAACTGAAAACTGAACTGACTGAAAACAAACAACGAAAAGAAGAAGCGCAGAAGTGAGGAACTTCAGGGTCATGCGCTGCCCCTGGTGTCTGTCAACATCACAATTCAGGCACAGGTCTGGACCCCCAATTTTTTATTTTTTTTCAATCATTGCAGTGGCTTCCGAAAATCGGAAAGTGGGATACGCCATACACTAGTGTACAGCCCGACACCCGGACTAGTGGGGGCGGGGGCGGGGATCTGAACGGAAAAAAGAAATGCAGTCGTGCGTCAAACACCAAAGTGATGGCTCCAATCACGACGACATCTGCCAATTTGGTCAGCCAGCATTCAAGCATATAAAGAGTTAGCTCTCGCGCAGTGGTTGAGATGTTCTCCTTCACTCACTTCATGGTGTTGAAAACCCTCTCAGCCGATCTCGCAATGCCGCCAGTCTAATTATTCCCGGCTGCACTGCCCTATTTTGAATGCCTTATCTTGTGAGAGGACTGACTCCACTGTGCCCACTGAAGCCGGTACGCTGATGTGGGCTGGTGGGCTAGTCTCCCGACTTTCCGCTTCCCGTTCACAGCTTTTTTCTTCGGCAGTCAGCTTCATCGCCAGAACGGCCTCCACTTGCCCAGACATGACATCACGAGCCGCCGAAGGGGTTTGATGGGGCCCTCGAGAGCTGGGGGTTATCATTCCCCCGGAAAACCTCCCCCCATGCCCACAACCCCGGCAGCGTCCAGCAAAACACCATCGCCTCTTACCCCGCACAGCGGCAATGCCAATCTCGGTGTCCATTCCACCACCGACACCCCCGGCGCTCGCCTCAGGACCCTCCCAATCTGGATGATCGCGCCCCGAGATCCGTCAACATGAGCCTCTTCCCGCAGGCTGGACCCATATTGCTCGCCAAAATGACACGACAGGTGGATCGGGGATGACTGGATGTCGGTAGGGCGCTAGGCAGCCGAGTGGTATATAGCAAAAGAGCCGCCCTGCCTGCCGCCCTCCCTTTCAGCAGCTCCCACCCTCTTCTATTTCGTGTCGACACCACACCAACACACAGAAATCAACCATGCCTCTTCCTGCTGGAGTTTACCGCGCGGACCACGTCGGGTCCTTCCTTCGCCCCAAGGCCATCCTCGAGACCCGTGAAAAGGTCGAGAGCCAGGCCGCTACCGCCGAGGACCTGCGCAAGGTTGAGGACGAGCACATTGCTACCGTCGTCTGGGAGCAGATCGAGAACGGCCTCCAGTCCGTGACCGACGGTGAATACCGCCGCGCGTGGTTCCACATCGACTTCCTGCAGCATCTGGCCGGTGTCGAGAAGCGCGGCCATGTCACGTCTACCAACGTCACGTCGCATGGCATGACTCCTCCCCGACTTGTTGTTGTCGGAAAGCTGGGCCACCCGAACCCCATCCAGGTCGACGACTTCAACTACGTGAACAAGCAGGTGGAGGCGGTTAAGGCCTCCTCGGGCGCCAGCCAGACTGTCACCGCCAAGGTGTGCATTCCCAGCCCGACCATGGTGTACTTCCGCGGCGGCCGCGACGCCATCGACGCCGACGCCTATCCCACGCTCGAGCCGCTCTTTGACGACATCGCCAAGGCCTACCAGGCCGAGCTCGACGACCTGTACGCCGCCGGCTGCCGCTTCGTCCAGCTGGACGACACCAACCTGGCCTACCTCTGTGACGAGGGCATGAGCAAGGAGGCCGCGCAGCGCCACGGCAAGACGCCCGCTGAGCTCACCCAGCAGTGCGTCGACATCATCAACGCCTCCATCAGCAAGAGACCCAAGGACATGACCATCGGCATCCACCTGTGCCGCGGCAACTTCCGCTCGCAATGGTTCGCCCAGGGCGGCTACGAGCCCGTGGCTGAGACTCTCTTCAAGGGCCTCAATGTCGATGTGTACTTCCTCGAGTTCGACGACGCGCGTTCCGGCGATTTCTCTCCGCTCCGTCACCTGCCCGAGGACAAGATTGTGGTATTGGGCGTCATGTCGAGCAAGAAGGCCGAGCTGGACGACAAGGAGGCCATGATCGAGAGGTTGAAGGAGGCCGCGGGATACTGCCCTAGGGGCCTGGATCAGCTGTGCTTGTCGCACCAGTGCGGTTTCAGCTCGACCAAGGAAGGAAACGATTTGACAGTCGAGGAGCAGTGGGCCAAGGTGCGCCTCGAGGTTGAGATTGCGAAGCAGGTCTGGGGTGACGATCTGTCGCAGTAAGCGTCTGTCTACTTTGAAAAGGAGGTAAAAAAAATAATAGAATTTTTGGATGCATTGGCTACGATCCACGCTTTTATATTATCAAGATGCATAGGAGCGAAGAAGAATGGACGGAGAGCAGAAGACTGTGGGAGAGCTGAGCAGAAATCAAACCTCGATGCTTTCTCCCTCATCGATTGGGACCTATGCTCTACCTAACAAGATGCATCAACCAAGATCGCTCATACCATTGAGAATTGGTACAACACACCACACCACTCGCACATCATCTCACTAATTGAACGTTGAAAATTTGAATTCAGGACACCTAGCCAAAGAGCACCAAGAGGTAATGAGCAGAAGAACCCAGCGCCGACCACCGAGCAGCAAGTCAGACCAGAAGTTTGGAAGTAAAACCCCGGCAATGGTCAGCTAGAGGTAGTTCCACGCGGCATGACGGACGCCCCTTTGATCAGTAGTACCTATATGCTGAACCCAGGGGGTTACGAACTGTTCATCTTCGTTCGTAAAGCTGTGGTGTGCCAAAGCCAATCCACGAAGCAGCTCAAGCGGTTGTCATGCATCACCGCTCCTTTGACACGAAATGCCGATTCGGACTTCAATCGCCATTCCGTCTGTCTCCATGTTGTACAAACCGGCACATGCCTGTCCGCACTTGCTCATCCCTTCGTTTGCGTTGTCCCGTTACCCATAACCGTAACTCTGAGGACCGATGCATCATCATTTGATCAACGGTTATTGTTTGCTTTTTGGACAATGAACGGTCACAATGGAACTACCCTGGAATATCAACGTGGCAGGCGGGATAACCCGTGTTAAAGTCCAAACCTAACCCGTCGTTTCTTTCTTCTAATACCTTTCCCCCCGCTGCCCCCAACGGCGTCGTGGTTTGGAATGGATCCTGACGGGGTATAATGTCACCAAAGAACAAAGCTGAGCGGTATGGTTGGTAGGTGACTGAATGTCTGATAGGAAGAAGTTCAATGAATCGGTACTGTGATTCATTCATTACTGAAGAGACTAATTACAGTCTAGCCATGGAAAGAAGAGGCCCGCGTTGTCTTTGATGAATGCTAGTTAGACCTATAGCACCTAGGGCATTCTACCATTTTGCTTTCCAGTTGATCGTCGTCAAGCTATCTGCTTCGTACTCCTCCCGTCTACCTACCTTCAACAGGAATGGCATCCATTTCGACCACCAGAACCCAACAGAGACACTCACCAAAATGACTTTACCCACCGAGTCCGACTCGGCGGTCACCCGCCTGATCATCGTCTTTACTTTACTGGCTTCCCTAGCCGGCATAACTCTGGGATTCAGATACTACTGCAAGCACCGCTACGCCAAGCAGCTAGGTGTTGACGACCTCCTTCTGGGTGTCTCCTATGTACGTTCGTCACCGACATCCATCTCCTACCCCCAAATACCATGGCACCCAGTTTCCTCTCTAACACACTTACCTCTACAAATGATAGCTCATCCTCACCGCCGCCGCCATCTGCACCGCCGTAGCCACCCGCCACGGCTTCGGTCAGCACATTTGGACCATCCCTCGTGTCACAGAAGCCATAACGGCAGCCAGGATCGTCTTCATCGGCGGCGCTTTTGTGTTCTTCGGCATCGCCCTGGCCAAGACGTCCATCTGCCTGACGCTGTACAACATTGCCCGAAGAAAATGGCAGAGATGGGCACTGGTGTTTGTGGCCGCTTCGGTGCTGGTGACCAAGCTGTTGTCGGGCATCTTCATCTTTGTCTCGTGCACGCCTGTGCAAAAGAGGTGGAATCCGATGGTGGAGGGGAGTTGTTGGGATATTAATGTGCTTTGTCGGTATTGGTCTTTTTCGGGAGGTGAGTTGTCTACCTATTTGGATGGGAAAAAAAAAAAAGAAGTCCCTGGTTGACTGACGGACTGACTGGGTGGTTACTAGCGTGGTCAGCAGTGACGGATTTTGCTTTGGTGGTACTTCCTTGGTGCATCATTTGGCACCTGCAGGTGAAGAAGATTGAAAAGATCGTGCTTGGGTTTGTTCTGAGTTTGGGGCTTCTGTAGGTCTCTTTCCTGGACGGGAATATTCGTCATGCATTGGTATCGTTGTGCTAATGAGACGATGATGCCTAGGACCGGCATCGTTGCGGCCATCAAGACGACGTACATCAAAGCTTCGGACCTGGAGAATGATTTTACCTGTCAGTTTGCCTTGTTTTTCTTTGTCGGAATCAGTGATCACAACTAATTTGTCGTTGTGAGCCAGACGCGGCAGCAGATCTAGTCATATGGGAATCTGCCGAGCTAGCAGTTGCCATCATCGCTGTTTCTATTCCATTTGGCCGCTTGGCGGTCCAAGACTACTTCAGGAGGAAACGAGCACGATCCGCAGGAAACACCACAAGCCAGGCTAATGGGACCCGAAGTACACAGCCGGCCACGTCCGAGTCAACAATGGTTCGGAGGGATGTCGATAATGCTGACGACGAGATGCCTCTTGCCCGGCGCCAACTGAAAGCAAAAGCGAATGATGGCGTCAGATCTAGTACAGTGTCTCTGGAGCAATTTCTGCGTGGAGCTCCAAAGATGCCGGGACCGTGGAGAGAGTCGGGAATCATGCTGACGAGGGAAGTTTCAGTTGGAAGACATCGAAAAGATGGTCCCGAACAGGAGCTGGGATGCCGAGCCTGGTCACCGCCGCCACCGTCGAATGTGTGAGCAGTTGGAAATCTGCTTTGGCAAAGGTGAGAGTTGGTAGAATGATATGCTTGATGATGACTGCCATAAGAGCTTTAATTGAAATGGAAATCATTGTTTTGTCGAGGACTCAAGGAGGTCGTCAATGTTACATTACAATCTAGTTGTGCCTGAATTGCGGGGAATTCACGCGCTCCGCATAGCAGCGGGGTGGCCCGCCCATGCAGCCCTATCATTCCCTTGATGTCCACTCCGTGGATGTTACAGCCAGTACATTGTACATACATACATGTATGTACGTTGCGTAATTTACCACTGATCACCTTGTCTGGAATTCTCACCTCCAAATCTGCCCTCGTGTGCGCAGGGAACGCGGTACGTCGGACAGTCGTGACCAATCCTACTTGTGGTTCCTTTGTTTACTTCAAAATCTGATTCACAATCCCCTGTTTCGATCTTCAATATTCAACTGACCGGACATACCCATTATAGGGTTTGTTCGTCTACTATGCATTTGCCATCATCCCATCTCACCGGGCGCTCAAAGTGGACGGCGTTGGAACCACTTTTCTGACATCCCATCCCACAACTCGTCAAATGTATCTTCCAATAGCCCGCCAATAGCTGTTTCCTACGGCTTCCCTGGCGACTCTCCCAATATCCCTTTGCAATGTCTCTTCCATCGCCACTCCCGACGTCTCACAAACTCGATCCTTGATTAAATGCTCGCGTGCTCTCTAATCGCCGCTACGGATCGAAGGCGAGACTTTGAGCCTCGCGCCGTGACGCTGTACAGGAGTATCACAATCCCCCGTCTCCTTCCTACCTAATTTCTATGATACAGGACGCATACACTACTGTGTGGAAGCCATGCGGGTCACACCATGTCGTGGGGCTTGTTTCGTCAACTTGAACTCACCAGTGACGGCTGGTGAGAGCCTCACCGAGCGCATGTTCGTTTGATACGGCTTCAAAGACCAGCTTTGCTACGTTGGCCACATAAACTCTTGTTGCGTGTTTCGTCTTTATGTAGCTATTGTACCTCGCACTCTGGTTATGCATCTGAGTTTCCCTACACCACCATGAACAACATGTGATGTATCTACCATACCTACACCACTTGGAGATTATGCCCCTCTATCAAATGCAAAACCTAACACTTTTACGCCGACCCGCGCTTCAGCGCCATCACCTATCACCGGTTTTGCTATGCCACCTTCATTCACGCCTGTGCGCTCGCTCCAGAGATTGCCAGGGAGAGAGAGGCTCTGGCTGGCTTCCATGAACAGATATCCTGATCCCAGTCATTACTGCCACACGGCCGCACACTCTACTGTCTTTGACGCGTCGGAGGTTGCCATCAGAGTTACTCGTGCCTAAGGTCTGCCTGGACTGGCCGTTGCCCAACAAAAATAGTCCAACCCATTCACCAGCGTTCTTCGTCGCGTGTGTTTCCATGGTGAGTAATCTCGGCTTATACATTGGCCGGGAAACTCGCTCCACTACCCAAACAAAGCTTGACTGAAATGCGGTTGGAAGACATTGTTAAGCGGAAGTGAGGAGATCTTCACGTTCCGCCTCATCCTGAGCATATATATTCTGACGAAGACTCAAAGTCAGTCATGTGAATCACTCTGGATCACCATGGCATAAGAAAATAAGCGGCTTCTTCATCTTCCCTCCTCTTGTGGAAGTCGTGTTGGGACCCTCCCCTCCGTGGTCGAGAACCTCTCCACATTGCGTGAGTATACTGCCCGTGTAAGAACTCCACACTGGCACCAATCACCTATGTGGACTACGCCATATTTTCTTCTCCCCCAGCCAAATTTGCAGTCTGGGTGTTCAATTTTCTGGTGTCTAGCGCTCTCAATATTCACTGCACCGCAATGGAATTGTTATGTGCAGCGACCTCGACTTGAAGTCAGCCACTTACTTGACATCAATTATTCCCCATCGCTTTGAGGACACTGGACGCTATCACGTAAAGAAGCGCGTCTGTCATCTGCCAATTCATCCTGGAGACATGATTGTCTACACTGGCATAGTCCGGTACTCCGAGGACGGCCGCATCCTTGCCTTTTGCGCGGGAGCGGCTCTCCGGGGACATGCCAGAGCATCAGTTTCCGGTACCGCAATGGAGGTTGCCGAGCCGTTGGCCATGTTTGACATCTTTGCAGTTGTGTTTATCGCAATCCCACGCACTTTTGCGTCAGTTTCACAATATTCTCTTGTGATAGTTTCGGATGGCCGTGTATGAGCTCTTCCTTTCTTTTGTTGATTCGTGCCTCCAGTAATCGCCCAGTATTGAAACACTTGGAGGGTCACCTACAATATTTGCCCTGATTGTCATTCCAGGCTCTCACTTGGCTCTTGTCTCAGCTTCCAGTCAGTCGTACCCGGTCATCGACGAGTCCATCATGAACCGATATTTCTGAACCAAAAGTAGGAAACAAGATGTATAATATGATATTTGACCCTTCAACTACCTTGCCAAATCTCTTTCATGGGTGGAATTCCACAAAGAGGGGGTCTATTGTGCGAGTGATCCGTTGTCGGGTACCTAACTCGCGGGTAAGATAAGATAACAGGGAATTTGTTAGGTTCCATCCCTTTGTTATTGGCGCTTCGAGAGCTGGGGGCTGGCGGCTGCCAGTGGCATGCCATCTGTGGTCGACACGTGCTGAGCCAGGGGTAAAAAACGTGGCGAATGGGTGGCGCGACAGATTGCCTTCAACAACACGAGGAGGACCGAGGATTGGATGGATGTTGGGATCGCTGGTGGCTTATGCCTGGCTTGCCTTGGAGACCTGGTGAAGGGGTTGACAGCAAGGGAGGAGGATCACTGATGATCTCAAGGGCAGAGACAAGACGGCTTCATGTTTGTACATAACTGACGTTGACCAAAATACGGCATGAGCTGTGAGTTGGAATGTCCCTATTACTGCTGTCCAAGAGCTGAAAATAATTAACAGCATTGTCACAATGAAGATCTATCTCGACATGACGTGAAGCAAGCCGCATGTTTTTGTATGCGATAAGAACGGTTACTCAGACACGGCATTGAGCCTGTTCGGCGTCCTCACTTTCGATAAAAAGCGCGGACCAAGGCTGGCCCAAGCGCCCAACTCCATCACAGTCAACCAATGAGCAGCTCCCATACCCGGTGTTGTGGAGAAGGCGAGACGTAATCAAGCGTGACCAAGCCCAGGCAGTGCATTGCCCACTCCATTCCTCCAATTTTGACTCGGACGGAGACATCAACAAATCTGGAATCTGGAATCTGCATCTCCATCTCGGCTGAATCTGCCCGGCCCAAATCCTTCAACAACCCAACTTGCCCACGCGTGCGTCCCGATTGCTTCTGTCCCGTCGCTCAGTCGATTCTTGATGCCGGCAACGCCCTTCCTTAATTCTCAACCCGGGTGGTAGTCAGGTCACGGTCGTACTGCGATTTGATTGTCTCCCTTCAACAACCAACTTGAAAAACTTCAATTTCTGTACGTGCTTTCTCTGTCTGGCCTTTCAGGCCCCCTCTCCCCTCCCCTTCATACCTCCGGCTCCGTCCTCGACGAAAGCCCCCTTCTCTGGCCAGGCCCCTCCGAGTCCGGGCCACTGCAGTCCAGTCCCCAATCCAGTGCTGTGCCCGCCGTCGCCCTCCCCCATCCGCGACGCAGGGCAGGGAGCCACCACTAGTGCAGAGGTGGAGGCAGCCAGGGCTCGTCGCAGGTTGCAGTTAGCACAGCTTCCACTTCCCTTGGTTCCCCTCCTCTGCCCTGCCCTCCCGTCCCGTCCTTGTGTGGGATGGATTGTTGTTGCTGCCCCGTGCCCCCCCGTCCTGCCCTCCGTCCCTGCCCCCCCCCGTCATCAATCATCACAACCACCAGGTCGTCGACCACCATCGCCCCTCATCACCATCATCACCATAGCCCCATCAACAGCGACAACGACGACAACAACAACAACAACAACAACATCTTATAGCAACTGCCTTACCTACCTGGGACTTCCTCTGTGCGCATACGTGTTGCACTTGCGGCCCGGTTCAGCTGGGAAATGCAAGCTGCTCCTTTCTGCACGCCTCGAAACCCAGCAGCAAATGGTTTGGAGAAGGTGCTTCTACCCTTCGATCCTGGGCGCCAAACATGGTCCCAGCCAGTCATTTCACGTGCCCCCCTGCATCTGTATCAGCTCCTCTTCAGTTCCAGTCCCTCCAGAGACTTTGTGCTGCCCCTATCCTCAAGGCTGCCGAATCCTACTTGCCGTCGCCAGCGAACCCTATTTTGCCTTAGTTGCCCTCCTCCTCGTGAACCTGCTCCTCTTCCAAGTCTGGCCAGATTGGGGCAATGCTCGGCGCCCATCTTACATCATCGCTACTAATTATCGTCTACCTTGGACCTTTACTGTCCTGGCCTCGCTACACAAGCTAACGCCGTCTACTCCTCATTGCAGTTTTTAAACCTTGAGATACCCTATGTCCGACCGATTAACAAGCTCATAACCCAATTCGATACTTTCTCCCCAGACCAACGCCATTAGACGAAAAATCCGAGCTAGGCTAGACCACATTCGACCAGGACGGCCAAATAATCCGGTCAATCCGCAATTTGCATTCCACTTGCTTTTCAACCCCGCCGCATGCCCGCCCCCCCGAACTTGCATACAATTGTCAAAACAGCTACCCCAATCGTGTCCGGTGTCAGTGCCCCTCACCGCTGGCGCCACAACGTACTCATAACATTCGCCCAACATGTTCTGGCGGTTCGGCGGCTACGCTGTTGCCAGCACAATAGACAACATCCTCGACCGCGGCGACTTTGCCCTTGAAGAGCTTCTCGATGAGAGCGACTTGATCCAGGAGCTCAAGCAACACAATGCGAAGCTGGTCGAGTATCTCCGTGACCAGGATGTCCTCAAGAGGTTGCTAGAATACGTTGTCGCGCCCAAGCTGGAGCCCGTGGCGGCTGCTGAAAACGAGGACGACGCGGAAGACGAAAACCAGAGGGGTATCTCCCTACCCTTCACTCGACCCCGCGCCTCATCGCGGGCCACCGATGCGAGCAATGATGACAGCGCCGTCGAAAAGAAACGGAACCGCTATGCTTTCGTTGCGGCCGAGATTCTGTCGTCGGACAATTGGTCAATATTCGAGGCTCTTATGGAAAGCAAAGACCTGCTGCGCGAGTTCTGGCAATTCCTGAAGCGCCCTGCCCCGCTCGACCCCCTCCAGGCCAGTTACTTCACCAAGGTCAATGAGTCCTTGTTCGACAGGAAGACCGAAGAAATGATCGATCTTCTCAAGTCTCTCGATAACGCGGTTCCCGATATGCTCAAGCACGTCGACTGCCCCATGGTTATGGATTTGCTGCTGAGAATCATCAGCTTGGAAAGAACCGAGGCTGGGCATGGTATAGTCGAGGTAGGTGGATCAATTTCTGCATTAGGATCTTTCTTGTACTAATTATTGTCTCGTCCAGTGGCTCTATACCCAGGATGTGATGCCCTCTCTGCTTTCTTTCCTCGGCCCAGAACATGGCTGGGCAACCCAGACATCCGCCGCCGATTTCATCAAGGCCATCATTACTGTCTCCGCCAATGCCTCGCAAAATGAACAGACCTGCATCGGACCGAACGAGCTCACACGACAACTTGTCTCGAGACCCTGCGTGGAGCAGTTGATCAATTACATGCTTGGTGGCGGCAACCCCCTCACGTGTGGTGTGGGCATTGTCATCGAAGTCATTAGAAAGAACAACTCCGATTACGACCCAGAGGCAACCGAGCCCAACTCGACCCCCTCGGCCCGCGACCCGATCTACCTTGGAACCTTGCTTCGCATGTTTGCCGACCATATTCCGGATTTCATGAGGCTCATCATGAACGCCCCGGCGCAAAAGGAACGTTTCACTTCCACGTTTGGTGATCATATCGAGCCGCTGGGCTTCGACAGGTTCAAGACATGTGAGCTGATGGCTGAGTTGCTCCACTGCAGCAACATGGGCTTGCTGAATGAGGTAGGCGCCGAAGAAGTCATTGCGCAGCGTGATGCTCAGCGACAGTTGCTGCGCACGCAAGGCCGGCTTGTGCCTGTTCGGGAGCAGGAACCTCCATCCGCGGCGGAAGATATCACAATGCGCGCGGCGCACTCTTCCCCAGCGGATACCGGCAGAAAGCTGGGGGTCACCAATACATCGGTAGATGACGATGGCTTTGAGGAGGTCACCCATACCACCGACGAAGACATCACGCACGGCATCGAGGAGCTTCCCGAAGGTTCATTGCCAGGCCCGACATCGTCATTCCTGGATAAGGACGAGGATGACTTTGTTGACGAGCCGCTGAGCTCTCCAAGGCTGCGTGTTCGCGACCACCATAATCCCATGGAGGATACAGCACCCATCAAGTTCGACGATCCGAACCTGGTGGTGGCGCCTCTGTCCCCTACCAAGAAGGCATCCGTGCCAATCAGGACAGCGTCTGCTTCTGAAGGGCAAAACGATGATGGCAACAAGACAGAGGAAACCACCGCCAACAAAGAAGGAAGTGACTCGGACCTTAAGCCGTCCGAGGATGCTCAATTGGAACTTCGCGGCGGCTCGGACAAGCCCGTAGCCCCAGAAGAGATGTCTCCCCACCCGGACGATACTCCTGCGCCGCTCTTTTCGACATCCGCCCGAACAACAGACCTCTCGGAGCCTAGCCAGGACGCTATATCAAAGGAAGAGCAGGCGGAGACCAGTCAGATGTCTACCGGTGGAGAACAAAGTGACCCCGATGCCACCATCGCCCACGACGCTTCTCAGGCCGACAAGAAGCATGAGCCTGTTGTTGGCGACTACCTTAAAATGCAGTTTGTCGAATACAAGGTTGTCCCCACGATTTTGAGCTTCTTCTTCTCTTATCCGTGGAATAACTTCTTGCACAACGTGGTTTACGACATTGTGCAGCAAGTGTTTAACGGTCCTATGAAGGACAGCTATAACCATAAGCTGGCTATCAGCCTCTTTGAGACGGCCGACATCACCAACCAAATCATTGGTGGACAGCTCGCCAGTGAGAAATCTGAGAACGAGAGAAAGACCCGTATGGGATACATGGGGCACTTGACGCTCATTGCTGAAGAGGTGGTCAAGTTTACTGAGCGCCACGAAACCGAAGTTCTCACAGAAAGCATTTTGGAGAAGGTCATGGCTCGGGATTGGATCGAATACGTGGAAGGCCCGCTTAGCGCTACGCGAACACGCGATAATGCCGTGCTTGGGGGTGTACGGCCAGAGAGTCTGATGGGCCGTTCTGGCTCCGGGATGTCTGGCGTAGGACTCTCCGCTCTTGGATCTCTTGGTCTGAGTGGCGGTTCCAACGCCCTTGCTGAGGCAGGGTTGAATGGAGGACAGGATGTTGCGGACAGTTCGGGTGGAAATGGAATCGGGCCGTTTGCCATCAGCGCTGGTACTCTTATGAGCGGGTTTGGTAGTTCGAGCGATGAGGACGAGGACGAGGAACAGGATAACGAGGAGGATGTTAACAATGAGGTTGGTTATTCTGATTATGTCTCATCTCTTCTCCCACCCCATGACATGTTCCCCCTGGGCTCAAGTGAGCCCCTGATACCGAGCAAATGCGACCACGGCTCCTTCGTCGACGGGGAGGAGCTTGCCGAGGCCCACCATGTTAAGGATGTTGATTTCGAAGTCGATGTCGAACACAACGAGCCCTTCGAGGAACAAGACTACGAAGACGACCCAAGCAGCTATGGATTGGACCATGAGGACTTCGAAGAAGGTCTTGCCGACTTTGATGGCTGCTCTCCAGCCCTTGCTCGGAAAGCGGAAACGTTCGCACAGCGACCCCCTACCCAGACAAACTCGCCACCGCCAGTTCGATCCTCCGAAGCACTATCACCAGTGAGACCGCAATTTTCCACCCAGGAGAACCCTATCGAGCCTGCATGGGGAGTTGATGAGATCGACGCTCCACTCTATGACGACTTTGAAGGCCAATGGACGAGGCCAGAACCAAGTCCTACCGACGCACTCGAGCTCAATCACTTCCTGTCTCAAATCAACCGGATGATCCACTTTCCTCCTCCGTCCCCTTCTCGAACAGAGGACACCGACCAAATATGATTATGAGGGTTCGATCCCCAATCTCTGAACCCTCCGACGCGAGACTCGGGCAACAATCATTGCTCTGCATCTGCTTCACGACGTCCGAGCTGTCAGGGTTATTCTTCTGGTTGAGGGTGTTGTATGATTAAAGGGCGCCAAGGACATAGTGGGCTAGCAACTTCGGACATGTTTTCCTCGCATTTTCCTCCTTCTCCTCACTCCAGTGGATACTCGTGATCAGGTTCCCTTCCTCGGGGCCGTGGTCGGTTCTTTTCTGACACCAAGGGTGCCGCAACGCCAAGAAGACCCCCTTATGCTTTCCATGGTTCCTTCTATCGTTGCATATCACCTATATTCCGCACGATGGCATGATCTCTGTCTCCTGACCCTTTATCCGTGTTACTACGCAGTTGCTAGTCGCCATGCCTGCCTGATTCTGCTCACGTTTTCTTGATTCACATTCCACTAACCGTTTCCCTTTGTTTGTTTCTTTTCCAGATGCGAACAATATGCTAATTCAGCATGCAGTTCCGTGCTTACACCGATCCTCTGAACGCCAACCTCTCAAACTCGATGAATCCACCTTCGATTCCACCGCCCCCACCACCACCTCCCCCGCTTAACATTCCTCCTTCTCGTGCGCGTCTCCAACTTGCTGCCAGGCTAGCTATGAACAAGCGTAACGCTGAAGCTGCTGCGAACGGCGGGCAAGAGGGCGGCTCGGCTCAAGCCGACAATTCCACTGGTTCTGGTACATTCAGCCTCCCAGATGAGTCAGCCAGCGATCGCCTCCGGAATCCCTTTGAGGATGAAGAGGAGGACGAGGATGAGGACAACGATGGCAATGGGTCTGGCAGTGATGATGGAGAGCTGGATAACACAGCCCATAACGGCTTGGGAGGTAGTACGTGGAATCGTGGGTCCTGGTGGCGCGGGATGGTTCCCGGTGGACAGAAGAACAAGAGCAGGGGGGATAGCCAGGATGCAGAACGATTCGGGGATGGGCGTGACAGCGAATCTGATGATGGGGCTGACGGAGGTGACGTGGTGGATGATATCGACGACGAAGAGTTTGGAGACTTTGCCATGCCTGAGGTTGAAGGCAACGCCCAAGATTCGGAACAGTCTCCCACTTCGGGCCGTACGGTCTCTGGCATCGACCCTGCGCGGGAGAAGATCCTGGTCAAGCCGCTCCCAGTCCATCCGAGCAAAAGCGGTAGTCCGTTTGGTAATCTGTGGCCTTTCTCTACTCCTGGATTCGGCAAGAAGGATGAGAGGGAGGTTCCGACGTCTTCGACGGGCGAACAGGGCTCAGAAAGGCAGAAGGAAAATGCTAGCCCTAGAAGCGGTGTTCCTATCACAGAGGAGCCCGAGGAACTGGACGCTGTAATGGAGGATCTAGTTATCGGCGAGGACGGCAAGAAGATCAACCGCGCGGTTGAGGCGAAGAGGAGGACAAGTATTGAGGATCCGGATGACGACGAGGCGGAGGAAATCTTTGTCAGCAGGCCTACCGGAGCACGCTGATCCACACCATACCCCTGGAGATGATATATATGTCGTTTGGTTATTGTGGGTAGGTGGTAGAGGTAGATGAGATACAGATACACACAAGACGGTCACTGTCATGATCGGAACGATGACGATGGGCGGGTGGAGGTAAACCGGTGCCGGATCCCTTACTTGTTTTTCAATTTGTATTTCTAGCATTCAGACCCACCGAAGCAACTTCTTTGCAGTCGCTAGGGTTCTCTCTTTGCCGTCATATCGTCCTTCTTCCAATATTTCTTCCTCCAATGACTCGCGTCGGCCGAGAACTCACGTATACCAAGTAGGCGTCGGAATCTCCCCCAACAACACCCATCTTCCAACCTCCCTCCGCTTATACGCGATCGGATCATGCAGCGTATGCGTCCTCAAGTCCCGCCAGAATCGATCCAAGCCGACCTTACTCGCCGTCGCCCTTGACCCTGTCACCTCAAATACATCACTTGTCACCTTAAGGCCGACATCCGTCACCACAATCTTTGCAGCCGCAATCAGCTCGCTTATCTCACCCCTTTGCAGCGCCGTCACCTCCCCCCGGTTATCTCTGGTATGATTACCAGCATAAGCAGCAAAAAGACCAGAAATCCGCTCATTGGCCCGATCAACCAGCGCCGTAGCCGCCAACAAGTGGGCATGGTGCGTACCGTACGTGGACAAAATATAAAACTCATCTGTGGCCTTTTCGGCGGGAGCAACGGTTTCGCGCTCGCCGCCTGAAAGGTAAGGCCACGGCCGTGTGCTCTTGCGCGTGTAAGCAGCTGCTAGGTCCAAAGCCGCGAGCGCGATGCCGAGGTAGAAGTTGGTGAAGACCAGTTGGATAGTGGGAAGCAACAAAGTGGCAAAGGGGACGCCTAGGACGTCTGGCAGGGGTTGTTTGGTGGAAGCATCCCAGCCCAACGCGTCCTCCCAGGAGACGACAAAGTTGGAGATCTGCGCTGAGCCCGATTCGGTCAGCCGGAGACCGATGGCGTCCCAGTTGAAGGAAAAGGTGATGCCGGGGTCGGTGGTGGGTACGTAGGCGAAGATGTGTTCGCCGCCAGACTCGGGGAAAGAGGAGGAGGAGAGAGAGCCTTCAAGCACGATCAGATCCGAGACGGCCGCGCCGGTGGTGAAGTGTTTGGAGCCGTTAAAGATGATGTTGGCCGAGTCGTTCGGGTCGGTGGTGATGACTAGGTCGCTGTCGCGCGGGTTGACGGCACCGCCGACGAAGAGGTTTTGTGAGGTGATGAGTGCAGTCCATTTGGTGATTTGGGAGGGGGTGCCGAGGATGGAAGAGGAAAATGCCCAGAGGAGGTGATAGCCTAGCAGCATGCCGATTGAGCTTTTTGAGGTGTCAGTCTGTCAGCATAGCCCTCGAATGTTGCTGTTGATGGTGGTAAGGTGGTGAACTCGGGGCATTCTACTCACCCATCACCCTTGGCGACTTCCCGAATTGCCTGGTAAGCCACGCTCCATGGCTGTTCACCGCCGCCGTACTCCTTTGGACCAAGGATCTTGAGTAGGCCGGAGTGTTTGAGGAGAGCCACTTCGGCACGGGGAGTCCTGTTGGCTTTCTCACGGGCGGCGGCGTCGGGGGCAAGAACTGCGGCCACATCTTTTGCGCGTTGGATCCAACCAGTCGAGTCTGAGGGGAGCGTTGACCATTTGGACTCGTATTCATGGTAGATGGACGGGTCGCTGCTTGGATGGACGGTGTCCTGGTTGTTTTGGGAGGAAGCCATGGTGTTGATGATATTGTTATGGTTGTGAGATGGGGCAAGTTAAAGGGGTTACCAGACAAGATTTTGGCAATGAACAGGATGTGAGTGTCACAAGTCTACGACGACAATAGCTGAGATGGCGATTTGCCTTCGTTATAAGGTTTATCTTGTTTTTGACGCTCAAGAGGTTTGGCTGGCAGCCATCACATGTTCCTTCCTTCCCCCGGTGATCTTCCTTTCTCAGGATTGCGCAATCAGACATCAAAATTTCGCAAACAAGGAGGAAGCTGAGCATCCCATGTCCTTGGGAGAAACCAATCTCGAGATCTCGTCTTTGCTTTTGGGTTTTCGGTACCAAAATGTCACCGCTTTCGGATCCCAAGGATTTAGGGCCTAGGCTTCTCGCAGGTTCTTGCTACACTAAGTCTTTGATCTTACCGTATCAGCACTCTTTCGGCGACATCGGCTCTCAGAGCCTCGTCATTAGTGAGTGTTTCCTCACCAGATGCAGGTCAGTAGTATTGTGCAATCAGTCCGACGGATGATAGCATCTTGCCAATGCTGCCTTCCAAACTAAGTCGGGAACAAGATGTTTCTCGCGGTAACCCATTTGGGACCTATCGAAATCAGACCCGGTTAACTGTCTACATCTCGACACGCCGAGTCCTTTCCTACAATAGATTTCTCTATCACCAAAATTGCAGCTTTTTGCGCCTTTCACACGCCCCGAAGCCGCAACCACAACCCGCGACAGGACCAACCGATCGTCCAACTCCACCTTTCCCCGCGCCAAGCCCATCATTTCGTGATGAGATGGGTTGCGACTCACATGGCGTCATCTGGTCGCAATATTGTGAGAACCGACCGACGGTAACTCGAGACCCGAAAAGCGACTTCGCACACAGGATGATGATTAGAAAAAATACAGAAGTGATGTGGTGTGACTACAAGAAGCCAGCTATGTGTACGCCAGTTGAGCGGAGATGGAGAATATCGAGCCTCACCCCTTTAGCCATGACCCTTTCCGTTTTCAAGCAGATGTCTTTAGCCTCTGAGCTGCACTTCTCAAAGAGCAAAGATCATCAAATTGGTCGATCATAGCTTCTAATACAAATAATATAGATACCCATCTTTGGATATAACAACAAAACCCAAATTATAAATGCCTATGCCAAGCACGCCCAAATAGATACCATGGTCGACGCCAGCACACTCAACAGCGACCCTGACCGGCTCCTCTTTGCGTAAGCCACCTTCACATTCTTCCGTATCCGGCCGGTACTAACCTGAAAGCAGCTACTGGGTCCCTAACGTCTCTGGCGGTCTCGTAGTCTCCAAGATCCCCCAGAACACCGGCTGGGACCTCAAGTCCAACGTCCGCTATGCCCGTACCGCCGAGTCCGTCGGCTTCGAGTACGCTCTCACTCAGATCCGCTTCGCTGCCTCATACAGTGCCGCGTCCCAGCACGAGTCTGTCTCGTTCTCACAGGCTCTCCTTCACCACACCGAGAAGCTCAAGGTCATTGCCGCTATCCTTCCCGGTCCCTGGAATCCTGCTGTCGTCGCCAAGCAAGTGGCTAGCATTGACAACTACACCGATGGGCGTCTTGCTGTGAACATTGTTTCGGGATGGAATAAGAGCGAGTTCCATGCTAGTAAGTGAAAGCCCATATAAGCTCAAGTGGTAAAGACAAGAATAACACATGGTACTCCACAGTCGGCGAATGGTGGCTTGACCATGCCGAGCGCTACCGCCGCTCCTACGAGTTCATGAAGTGTCTGCGTGGCATCTGGACTGCCCCGGAAGACGAGGGTTTCACCTTCGCCGGCGACTTCTATCGGTTCCGCAACTACAAGCTCAGCCCCAAACCCATCGCCAGCCCGCACCCGGAGATCTTTCAGGGCGGCAACTCGGATGACGCCAAAAACAATGGCGCCGAAGTTTCCGACTGGTACTTTATGAACGGCATGGACCTTGAGGGTTTCCGGGCGCAGATCGCAGACGTGAAGGAGCGCGCCAAGAATTTTGGCCGCGAGAATGTTGTCAAGTTCGCCGTCAATGCCTTCGTCATTGTCCGCGACACCGAGGAGGAGGCCATCCGCACTCTTCAAGAAATCCAGGGCAAAGCCGACGTCGAGGCTGTGGAGGCCTTCAAGAAGGAGGTCCAGAACGCGGGAGCCAGCTCGAGCAACAAGCAGGGCATGTGGGCGACTAGCACGTTCAACGACCTGGTGCAGTACAATGATGGGTTCAAGACTAAGCTGATCGGCACCAAGGAGCAGGTGGCTGAGCGGATTGTTTTGCTCAAGAGCTTGGGCGTCAACCTAATGTTGACTGGCTTCCTTAATTATGAGGAGGAGGTCGAGGCGTTTGGCAAAAATGTTATACCCCTTGTGAGAGAGCTTGAGAAGCGAGGGAGGGGAAAGGACGAAGCGTTTGAGATTGAGAGGACTGGCGATGTTTATAGGAAGTAAAGCGAGGAGGGACATGGTCGGACCATCAAGGGACCACGTCGTACCACAACGGTGATCCCGCCTCTTTACATCACAGGAAGAATGACAGGAAAGGGATAAAAATTGCGATTGAGCACTGTGCAAGTGCAAAATGGGATAGAGTTGAAAAGCGCCAGAGCATGCAAGAAAAACGGGGGTCGTTATCCAGGTCCGTGCAGAATCTCCCAATTACCTGTTTGGGACAGAAATTGGTCCGTGCCCACGCAAATTCTCAGAACACACAAAAACCCTCCAAAACTCAGTTCCTCGCTTACTTCTCTTTATTTTGGAGGTATAATAATTAAAATTTATAGATATTCTTCTTCGTAATAATTTAGATCTAGCATTTCGCACAAAAAGGCCCCATTTGGGCATGCTATTGAGCGAAAAGGAGGAATCTAGCTGAAGTTTGCTGCTGAAAAAAGACTTCCCAAACAGGTAATTGGGAGATTCTGCACAGACCTAGATACCGGAGCGAATAAAGTGACCGTGTGCTCTAATAATGTAACCGTATATTAACTAGAAGGGGCCGCTCCATATAGTATGTTAGTAAATGTTAGTAAATGCTAGCTGCACCAAAATTTTGTAGTAAGTAGTATAAGTATATATCCTTAATACACTTGTGAGATTGAATACGTACCTTATTACCCCTATACCTCATTATTGCTAATATTGCGCTATAGTATTTATCGTCGTTAAAATACCCTATTCTATTTACTCTATTAACCCCTCAAAGTTCAAAACTAATATAATTAATTTTACTAACGACCCTTCCGCCCCTACTATAATTCAAATCTCTAGTAATAAGGACAACGGCGGCGAAATTCCCTTATAGCTATATTGCTTTTATAAGCGTAAGTGGCTTGATTATAAGACTTTCTTTTGTAATATTAATACCGCCGCTCAAATAGAGGGATTCTATATTACATCGAACTATAGTAATAATAAGGTCGATAGTAAACCAATTCGGTATAATTTCGTATGTGGCGAGAGTAAAAATAAATACGTTGGCTATACCCCTAAGGGTATTTATAATATTTCAAAGTCCGGTAAGAAGGATTGTAAATAGAAGGTAAAAACTATAAGATATAAGAAGTTCGGCGGTGTTTGAAAGTTCGATTATAGTTAGTACTAATATAATTATAATTTAAATTTAAATACCGCGGGGTATTTACTTAGTTACTATCGATTCGAGAGAACTCTTTAAATTGTAGAAAGTATTTTTAAATATAGGAAATAGTCTAAAAATATATTTAGGGATATTATTGCGACTTTATAGACTGACTTTCTAGGAGTTAAGATTAGGAACCGCGATGTGTTGAATATATTAGCCGTTGTTAAAATTGTAAAGGCGGGCGCGCTTATCCCTACCTAATAATTCCTTAATTCTTTGCAATTGGACTCTGCGGTATTTGTAAAATTTTATTATAAGGGTAATGGCGATAAATTCAGCACGCCAAATAATAATAGGGATAAGGGAGATAAGAAGGGTAAATTTTTTGCGTATAATAACGACCGTTCGATCGATTGTGTATTTTAGACATACGATTAGTACGTTAATTAGTAGAGGAAGAACTTAGAAGTATAGTCTTTAAACTATATTTATAGAATAAACCGGTTTAATATACTTTTATTATAGATTTGCAGTGTTATTTATATATATACTATATTTAATATTGGGTATTGCTTATTGAGCGGCGAGAAGGAGGAGTCTTTTTATTGGGTTTTACGCGTCCTTAAGAGACTACTTACTAATAAGAATATTACTAGACTAAGTATAATAATATTAAATTATAATTATATATTTAAGAGAGCCGCCTGCGCCGTCTTCGATTATAATACTTAGTACTAAATTTACCTATAGTATATTATAAAGAATATCGCCTTCAATGTTAAAAAGAAATAGATTAGTATACTAGATAGTACGGCGCTTAGTAATTGAGGTAGTAACGGTAGTTATCTCCGTAATAATAATAAGGACTACGACTGCCGCGGGGATAATAGAATTAATAAAATTAATAGTAATTTTATTAACCCTACTAATAATAATAATTAAGTTCGTATTATTGCTATAAGGCTACTTATAATAGAAGACCGTTGTTAATATCTTAATAAAGCTACTAGAAATATATTAATTAGTTAATTAAACGGGTAAGTCCTACTTAATTTTGGGCGGTTGTAGTTCAATAATATTAATAGTATTCTCTTTGTATAGGCGGCTATAGTTTATTCTAATTCGAACGAATAATTCTAGGACTACTAGCGAATTTTAATATTAGAATTCCTTAGTTAAAAGCGTAAATCTATTCCCTCTACCATCTCTATCAATTTTATCAACTCAATCCTTATAGTATTAATTAAATATTTATTAAAAATTTACTTATTTATTACCTAAGAGTTTATAGCCTTCTATATTAAATAGTATTGTAATTTCAGTATTCGAATTATATTGCGGATAGAGGGTGTTTATAGTATATTTAAGCGATTGTTGAAGAATTGCTTCATCGATTTAACTACTTTACTTAATA